AACAGATGACACTTTGCATTCTGATGTGTCGCAAATGCATCGATTTCTGGGTGACCCCATCTGTGGAAGATTGGTTGGAGGGAAGCCCAGTTGAACTCCCACTCGTGGAGGAATGCACCTCCTCTGCTCAGAAAGTCCGCATACACATTGAGCGATCCTGGCAGGAGAGCAGCAATGATGAACACGCCCCGGGATTGACACTCGGTCCAAATCTCCTGGGCCAGTCGACAGAGCCCACTGTTCAGGCAAAAATCGCTTTCGCTTTCAAGAGGAATCAATCAAGGTCGGCGCAGGCGCACTATATCCCAGAGGTGTGATGCACAGAGACCACTTTTGGGACCCAATATCTCTTGCCTGCAGAAGGTTGATCGTCCTTGTCCACCAGACAAGACTGGATCTCACCCTTAGAGGACTGTGGATTGATAGTTCTTCCTTCCTCAGGATCTGATCTCAGATACTGTTGCAGTTGCCTTGAATGGAATCTGCCCCACTGTACTGTGTCTGTGTTTGAAATCAAGTTGCCCATCAGTGCCATGAGGGTCATCAGCGATGTAGATCTGCTTTTTACTATAGATGTAGCCATATTCTTCGTCTTCATTGCCTTGTCTGTGAGGAATGAACAATTGGACATGGTGTCTATAGATGTTCCAAACTTTGTGTCAGTTCTAAGGAGTTCTTGTGAAGATTCACAAGGAAACTGTGGGCTTGTAAGAACCTAATGGTTTTCTGCATGTCCTCCCTCTACTTGTGCTGTGAACTGGACCAGATTAGCAGGGAGTCCAGTTAAGGATGAATGTGAACTTCTTGTTCTCTCAATTTTACTATTGGATTTTTCAACATTTTCGAGAACACTCTGGGTGTTGAAGGAAGCCCAAAAAGTAAAACTCTGAAGAAAGGCCAAATGGTAGAAGTTGAGACACTTCCGGTTTATGGCGACACGCTAGCGGACGCGTCTCCCGGACCACCCGGGGAAGCGATCCGCGTGCCAGTGGTTGGGAGGGGGAGCAATTGTTCGCCACCCCCTGGAGCCATCATGAAAGGCTCCTAGCCATGGGGCTTCTGAAGGGTGGCCACTTCGCCAGCGTGTTGCTGTGGAATTGAGGGGCTCTTCCGCCCCGATGGTCCTGCCGCTGCTGTGTCCATAATGGAATCAGAGCCGCCGACCGAGACAAGCACTGGAGATTGGGTGTATAAAACGTACCTTGAGCGAGGTCTCCGGACCACCAATGAACAGTGAGTCGAGTAAAAGCGAAATGCCGGGAATTTAAAAGAAAGCCCCCCTGGGAATGAAGGGACTAGTGAGCGAGCAGGGGAGGGGCTAACCCTCCCATACGCATAACCCTCCCATACGCATAAATATAACAGCAATTTGCCAAAGTTTAAGTGTTGAAATCTGTTTTAAGAAATCAACCAGAGCACTAATAAGCATTTGGGCAAATTTCAGAAACTTTAGCAAGTACTTAAAAAGCGAAACTACCGGGGAGCATAAGCCCACGACCGGAAGATACCACTGGGTTTTCTAAACTGTCAGTGGACTCTTTGCGCCCTCTACTGGACCAGATGATGAATATCAATCAACAGCTAACAGCGTTAAATCAGAATCTTGCAGCTCTGCAGCTCCAATTGATTGAAACTGCAAAAAAGATGGAGCAAACAGCTGAGAAAGTGAAGGAAATGAATGCTAAATCTAAAAAGATTAAGAAAAAGGTCCAAATGCTGGAAAAGAAGCAAGCTTCAGACGAACTTCAACTTTTGCAGCTACAAATGGAGAAAGCTTAGTCCTCCGGTTCCAAGGGGTTCCGGAAGCAAAAGAAGAGAATTTAAAGCAACTTTTGAGCGACGCACTAGCTCCAGTTACAGATTTAAAAGCGGAATACCTTGTAAGCGAAATGGATGTGGTTTACAGAGCCTATTCCGTTTATATCAAGAAAAATAATCTGCCTGGAGAGATAGTGGTTAGATTCTCGAAGAGATATGTGAGGGATCAAATCCCGAAAGTAACTACAGGAACGCCCTTGAAAATTGGAGGCAACACCATCAGGATTCTAAAAGACATTCCATTTGAAATTAGGAAGAAGAGGAAGTATAAAGACTTGATTCTGTTTTTGCAAACAAACAGCATTCCCTACAGATGGTTGACCCCCGAAGGCGTCATTTTCAAACTGCAGGATAAAAAAGAAAAAATTGACTCTGTTTCCAAAGCGCGTGAGTTCCTGAGACTGCAACTGGGAGAGTCAGGAGAGGATGGCAAGGACGAAGAAGACAGCAAACTTAGGGATGAAATGGACTCTGCTACTTCCAACGAGGACTCTACTTCAGAAAAGGGGGCGGCAGCCCCCAAACGAGAATACCAATTGAGGATTAGAAAAGATTTTTAAAAATGAAGGCTGAAGAACTCTGATCTGTGCCTTGAAGTTTTTTTTTAAACGATACTCTTGTGATTTTCTTTAAACAGTTAAAATAATGGTTTTAAACATAAATAATATAGCTTTATCGACCATGTTCAATGTAAGCATTTTAGACTAACACTGATACAAGCTTTTGTACTGATTTCCTATACTTGAGCTTTTAGTGGTTTTCCTTCCTCTCTCCCATAGATGTAGTTTCCACTCCACTTTTTTCATTGTAGTTTATAGAAAAATGCAATTAAAAATCCCCGGGGGGGGGGGCGCAAAAAAAAAAGTAAAAAGAAAAGAGATCAGAGTAGATGTAGAACAGCCTGCTCTCAACTGCTCTCCCTGAGGCTGGAACAGAACTGAAGGGCAGGTGACTCCCCCAGTTAAGACAGGAAAGAAGAAAAAAGTTGTTCCTGCCTCCATGAATGCATGGTGGGAATTACTCACCAAGATGTCCTCTGCCTCAGAGGGAGAAGAGTTGTTGTGGTTCAGTCACACAGTCAAGTCGAACTCTTCGTGACCCCATGGACCACATCACGCCAGGCCCTCCTGTCTTCCACCATCCTCTGGAGTTTGCCCAATTTCATGTTCGTTGCATCGGTAACACTGTCTGACCATCTCATCCTTTGCTGTCCCCTTCTTCTGTTACTTTCAATCTTTCCCAGCATCAGGATCTTTTCCAGTGAGTGCTCCCTTCTCATTGGGTGGCCAAAGTACTTGAGCTTCGGCTTCAGTATCTGTCCTTCCAGGGAACAGAGAAGACACTGTTGTACAAAAAAACCCTCACAGGAATATACAACATGGAAGTTCTGAAACTCATCAAATAATTAAACACTACATGTTATCCTGGCTTAAACAGAGACTTGAATTTCCTCAGTCCCTACAATCCCGAATAGCTCTACAGGAGCCACTTCTTGAAAATTTTAATTGGCTGTCCTTGATACATTTTATTAGACTATAACCTTATACACATACCAGTTAATTTTCACTTAAATTATTTGATCATCTGTTTGGACCTCTGACCTCCCTTACCATCCAGTAGATGTTAACTGCCAATTCTGTTGATTTACGATGGGACTCACACCTACACTTTCTACATCAAGTCCTCCATCTTCCCTCTTAGGTTGAGATTTACACTTTAAAGACTCATAGTGTAATTTGATGTTGATAAATCCAAACCTTGACGCCCAATAACCTTTCCCCACAAAAGCTCATAATGAAATAAATGTTAGCTTTTAAGGTGCCACTGGACTTTCATTTTGCTGTGACAGACTAACACAGCTACTCATTTACATTCAATTGTTGCACCTGCAGCACAGGTTACAAGCTCTGTAACATTACTAGAATATGACCTACTTCTAGGGTTTCGCAACTGTGACTTGGCAAATGTTGGGAGATTGGGGGGGTAGTGCCTGGGGAAGGCGGAGTTTGGCATAGGATGCAATGCTACTTCTGCTGATACCCTAGGCTACCTCCTAATCTCTATGGTCCTTACCAGAGAGGCTTGAAGAGATTTCCAGTGTCACTTTTTACTCCCACTCCTTAGAGGTGGAAAAGTGAGGCTGGGGGATGGTAATTCTCTACCCCAAGCAGGTAAATGGGATGCCTACCTACTTCCTATTATATAATAGATTGGGGGGAAGCAAAACACAACATCCCCCCCACCCCCGCCGCCATTTCTCTGTAGCAACTGAAATAACCCTTAAATGCAGCATAATATGTTTTTGGAATACAAGTGGAAGTATTCACAGAGATTTATCAGTACTTTTGAAACATAAGAAATGAAACAAAAACAAAAAGAATATACCAGTATACATTAGTTTTTATTTCTGTATGCAATGTAATATTTAGGCACATAGCTTGGGACACTTTCTAAAATAAGTAATTGGCCATTGGTTTAGAGTATCCTTTTGGCTTTTAAATACTGGTCAGGAAAACAAATGATGTAAAAATAAATGAATATAACTTTCTATTAAAGAAATAAAAATGGATTTGCATCTAAAAGTGCAAGAGGAGAAATACTTTAACCCTTTCACCAGACAATATGGCAATATACATTATATTGCTTCTGTTTGAGAAGGTGGTTGGAATTTTATGACATAGAAAATTATAAATTACAATTAGTTTCCATAATCACTATATATATACATAAGCCAGTTATGGAAAAAACTGGTTTAAACTTACAAATGAAAACTTCACACAAATCAAAACAGTGAAAGTATAACAATTAACATGCTCAAGTGCCCAATTTTGATATTTCCTTTAAAGATATTATACCTTTAAAATTCATGAACTGTAATTACATGAGCAGCATGAGCATTTCATTAAATTTAGTTGATTTTTCAAAAGGAATACAGTGTTTTAAATATGTAGATTGTTTCAAAATGTGCTTGGTGAATGGGTTAAAAAAGTAGGTGAATCACTTAAAATACACAACAAGCCATGTGCACTTCAAAATATTCTAGTGTTTCACCTGTAAGTAATTGTTTCAAGCAAACAAGACTTAACAGAATGTTATGGCTTTACAGTAACATCAATTTGTCAACTAAGTTGTAGCAATAAATACTTAAAACTTCTACCAATAGACTTACATTTTGATCTGGTTTAAACAATACAGAAAACAATTATCAATTGAAAACCTGCTGTAAAATGCTGAACACCAAAAATCCTGGTTAAAACAACCAAAACATTTAGAGGGCATTGCAGTTGTACTTTTTTTGTGTGTGTGGCCAAACTGAAAGAAATATGGACTTCAAATTTCAGGGTAAAAAATGATGGGACTGCTAAATACTTTGGTCACTAATTGTCAGTTATGCCTCAAATACATTAGATTTGTGTATTCACTTTTTTTTTTTATAAAACTATTCTTACAGCCATTTTAACTAGAGTATCACTACTATCATTACTTGGGTGGCAAGATCTTATTTCACAAATCACCCATTATTATTTAGAACAATACAATATAAACATACGCAAAAATTCTTGGTATTTCTCAATGTGCAATTTTTACACTTATGAATTTCTGTACAATGTCTCAAAATCTAGAATATAAATGTTGCTGGTCCTGATCCCTTGCGAAATTAGTGCAGCAGTAACTGGCTCCAATAGGCTCTAGATGAAATCCTCAAGTTATCCTTGGATATCAGTTCATATTCTTCAGCCAACAGCAGTCAGTATCACATATCATACAGGGCCATTAACAGATGCCTCTGGTAGAAGAGCTTGTTGACCATTCCTAGGGAGTTAAAAGGAAAATCTTAGTGTTAGAAGAGACTATCTTAATAATAAAATCGCAAATGTAGTAACAAAGGGTAAATAGTGATAATATGCAGTTACATATACTTAGGTTTCATTTCAGCTGGGGATTAAGAGTAATGGCTTTGTAGAACAGATTGCTTTTTTAGCTGAGGTTTGAAGGCCAAGAGAAGAGACCTAATGAAGGTGCTCTGGGAGGAGGTTCCAGGTGTAAGGATAAAGAAGACTGAAGACCTATGGGCAACTTAGAGTGGTCAAATTGGAAAGGTCATTGCCAGGGATATATTAAGCTACGAGAGCACAAAGAGTGGGAGGGGGCGTCTGTTATGGTAAAAGGAGTTTATACTATGGGGGGCCAGTGCAGGGACCTCAGGATGGAAGCACATGCTTTGAACAGCGCGAGAGGTGAACAACTTTGATAAGAGAGTTCTGGATAGGACTGATATGAGACAAATAAAGGCCAGAGAAAGGTATACTATTTAAACATTTACCTGTTGACTAACTAGTCTGGAGAAAAAGATAGTGTTGGCTTGTCAGTTATACATATTTCCTTACACACTAATGGAGGACCGCTTTTGTCTTTGATCTCAATGAGGATATTAACTAACTGTTGCCCAAATAACTTGCCTCCAAGAATGGCTGGTTAGCTAGGCTTGTAGAGGAACTTGCATCAACATCTCAAGCCTGCAGTCAATTGTTTCTGCTGGCAACATCTGAACATGCTATGGCCCAAGTACTGAACTGTACTGGATCCGGGAAGGATCCGGGAAGGATTCTGCAAGAACAGTGACAAGATATCTTGCAGAGTCTATCCTTCATGGCTTTGGATTTAATAGAAGTTATTTAATTAGTCCCCACAATAGCTGCCTAGAAAAAAAGACAGTCAGTAACACGGGCTGAGTGCTAGCCCTGAGGTTTCAAAATCTGTATGTAAGGCCAACTTAGTCTTTCTATCACTATTATCAGCAGAAAAAAAAGCAGGAAACAACCTCCCTTAGCTAAAAGAACTGTGCTAGAAGTCAGGGCTGCTATGAGAGCGTCAACTAACAACACTGTTAGGTGTTCCAGAACCTGCTGGGGTAAAGAATATATTTAATTAATATATTGGTGAGAAGTCTTACCCACAGCTACTGCTCCTCAATAACCCAGTCACACAACTCTATAAAGGGCATCTTCTGACCCCTGAACTTCAGGACTGAAGGAACATCAAACTGCTGCTCAGCAATGCGGTGCTGACCAGACGGGAGGCACCAGCTTGAAAGAGATGTAGGCCGCTTCCTTGACAGACCCATCTGTCACTGCCGGTGCTTCAAAACATGAGAGGGCTGTCTGTCCTCTGTCCCTGCTGGTGCTTTGGCAGGAGGGAGGAGAGCAGCAGTGGAAGAAGCAGTGATGGCCATTGCTGCAGTTGCTTATCGGGGGTGGGGGTGGGTGGGAGCGGCCAAGCTGCCGTTTGTGGCAACTTGGTTCCAGTTTCTGCTGTCAGGCACTGTTCCATCTGACAGCTTATTCTTTGTCCCCAACTGCCGACACTAGCAAGCGGTGGGCAGAGGAGACTGATGCCTATGGGGGGGGGGCTGCTTCAGCATTTTCTCCTTTATTAAGAGAGGAGGGAGAGCTGTGGAAGTCATGGAGTGGGTGCCAATGTTCCCTCTAAGCTGTGGAGTCCTGTGAGCAGAAATTCTACTTTGTGAGCTACTGGCATTAAAGTTGTGAGCAGGTAGTTTGGCTGCTGCATAAAATTAGTTTGCTCTGGAGCCATCTTTCCTGAGCTAAGACAAAAATGTGTGAGCTGGAGGCTAAAAAACTGAGCTAGCTCACACTAACTCAGCTTAGAGGGAACACTGGTGGGTGGTATCAGACTCCTCAAGATAGAAGCAGCTTTTGCAAAACGTTTGCATAGGCCCTGCCCATGGAACAAAGAGGTACAAGCAACACAAGGATACCTTCCTCCACTGGTAAGTGAGCTGGCATTCTTAGGCCCGAGGCTCTCCTGAGACTTCTAGCTTGCCCATAAACTCTTAATTGAGCCTTTCTGATAAGACTGCTTGCAGGATGGGGGCAAACAACACCTGCTATCCTTTCATTCACTTCCACTGATATAGTCTGAACATCTTCCAAGATCACAGCAACAATCTGACTAGTCATGTCTACACAATATAAGCACACACTTGTACCTACATAAAGTGTTGCTACTTTTTAAGCGGAGGGGTTCTTGGATTAGTCCTGGGTTGTCTATATTCTAGCATGTGAAAAAAAAAGGTGCTACCTCTGTTCCAGACTGCTGCTTGCAGGCTGCGCCGTGACAGGATTTTCTTCTCCAGCTTCTGCATTCTCCTCCACCATATATTTACAAGAAGCATCTTGCGAGGTAGACAATTTTCCTTCCTCACTGATGAAGAAACAGGTTACAGTTTCATTTATGTTTTAGACCCTGTTGTATCATCATGCACTAGTGGGAGGCTTAGGGAGAAAGGGTCCAGAGATTACATGCAAACAGACATTAGAAACATGAGTGAAACACAGAAAACAAGCACATGGTTGTGAAGTCTGTTCACATTCAACACTGCCATCAGTTTATGTTCACATAAAAGGAACTGGACTGGAAAAAATGCAGGATGTCAGAATACAGAGTCATAGAAAGAGGAAGAAAGAATGTAGGCAGTGCCCAAAGTGATAAGAAATTACATTAATTATCCTTTACTGTACATACCGATAGGATTTCAACACTCTGAAGCCAAAAATGAAAGGAGGGAGGGAGAAGAATAGAAAAGGAATATAAAAAAGACCATCAACATTTTAAAAAAAGAAACTAGTCCTCAGGTCAAGCCTATTTATGCAGCAGCCAAAAAGGAGGTGGCGATAAATAATACCTCTCTCTTTATCCAAGGAACTTACACAGTTCTCCTCTTCCCATTTTAATCTCACAACAACCCAGCAAGGTAGGCTAATATAAGTGTGTGTGATTGACCTAAGGCCATCCAATTAACCCAGAGCTGAACCTAGACTCTCCAGTCGTAATTTGGCACTAACTAGGAACCCCCCAGATTTGCAGAACCAAGTTAAGGGGGGAGGGGATGGATAAAATACAAAATACTCATAGCAACCAAAATCTCACAACATTACCTTGTCAGATCTTGCCTGCCTAGGCAACCATAAACAACATCACCAAGACCACAGCATCACTTAGATTCCTTAAGCATCAAGTGAACCCAAATTCACCAGATGCTTGGGAAAGGGACCTTTTGCAAATCCCACAGAAACCTCTAGGTCAGGCTGGGCCCCAGCAAGGTTTCTGCGGTTCTTGTAAGACTATGTTGCAAGATTTCCCCCTCATCTATTTTTCAACTGAAGTATGGGAGAAGTACAGAAAAGAGGAGATAAAAGGCGAAACCATGGGGTGGGGGAGGAAGAACAGGGGCCAGAGAGGGAGCTGGAGACAGTGTAGGAGAGTGAGGAAAGTGTAGGAGAGTGAGAGGGTAGGCAGGACAGGCAAGAAGAACATTTGGATCCTCAAGCATGGCAAATCTCAAAAAATCAATAAAAGTAAATATACATCTTGTTAGGGACCTCTATATATTAAAGGAGGTTGAAACACTTCACCAAAGTCCAACTTTGGTTACAACTATCCCCCCCACTAACAACTGCAGTATGAAGACTGCCTACATCCATGTAACCCCACACCTGTAAAAAAGACAACCATCAGTCAGAAACATACTCCATAGCCAAAAAAGCCACTCTCGACTTACAGCTTCAGGGAGCATGGCCTTTCAAAAAGTTTTCAAAGCGACTGTTCAACAACGGGAGGCCCCACCCGCAGACCTACATGGTACCACCAATGTCAGATTTACCACTTCACTGGCTGAGAAAACTAGATCTCAGTTTGGATAGGAACCTGCTTGGGAGCCCCGTGGAAGATGCTCTGAGCTTCTGGAGTGTGAGAGCAAAAGAAAAACTTGCTTACATGTGACTGTTGTTTTTCAAGTGGGCCATTTGTGCTTTTTGCTTCAAAAAGCTAAGATTCAGAAGAAGAAGAAGAAGAGATTGGATTTATACCCCGCCCTTCACTACCCAAAGGAGTCTCGGAGCGGCTTACAAACTCCAGGTGCAAGTGGAGGAGTGGGGAATCAAACCCGGTTCTCCCAGATTAGAGTCCATGCACTTAACCACTACACCAAACTGGCTCTCCAGACTGCTCCACCAAACTGCCTCTCCAGACTGCTCCATCAAACAGACTGCTTACCTGTAACTGATGATCTTTGAGTGGTCATCTGTGCAGCCACACACCTGTGCTAGCACCTGTGCATGAACCTGACCTTGGAGAATATCAGGGATAGCCTCTAACATTTTTAGCACGCTTTCCCCCCACACACTGGGGAGCAGGCACTGACCGTGCATGCCTGGAGCAAGGGAGAAAGCACCCACCCACTCAGTTCTTTCTGACTGCTGGTAAGTTCCAACAACTTAATAGATGTCAGCAGTGGGGAAGGATGAACGGGCTTGTGAGACTGCATAGATAATCACTCAAAGACCATCAGTTACAGACAGGTAAGCAACCTATTTATCTTCTTCGTGGTCTCTGTGCAGTCCCACACCTGAGTGATTAGCGAGCTAAAAAGAAACGGGACGAGAGGTGCTGGCAAACAGATTAAAGCAGATAATCCCAGGGTCTCTTACCTATTAAAGGCCCACCTGAGGACCAGAGGCAATATGCCAGGTCACTGGAAGAGGGACCTCAATACCGTCTGGCCAAAGGACGTGTCCCAATGAGCTCTGATGTCCAAGGTGTAGTGTGACATGAAGGCTGATGGAGAAGACCATGTGGCCGCATTGAGACATGTCTCCCAAGAAGGCCATAGAGGTGGACACAGCACTTGTGGAATGGGCTCGAAGCTGTACAGGTACCAGCTGTCCCGTTAACTCATAACACAGAGAGATAGTAGATGTAATCCGCTTTGCCAGTCTCTGGGATGACATCCTGCGACCCTTCTTGGGTTCACCATAGGCAATAAACAAATGGGGACCTTTCCAGAATGGCTGCACCCTAGTAAGGTAGAAAGATAGGGCTCTACGGACATCAAGAGAGTGTAACACCCACTAGCCCTCATCTGTCAGGTCCGGAAAAAAAGGTGGGCAGCACTGTGGGCTGCAAAAGGTGGAATTTCAAGACCACTGTTGGTAGAAAGGAAGGCTCAGGGCGGAGCACAACTTTGTCCTTATGGAAGATAGTGTAGGGGGGTGTCCACTCAGAATGCACAGAGATCGCTGGCCCTCTTTGCTGAAGTGAATGCAATGAGGAACACCATCTTCCAGGTGAGGAGGTGGAGCATGGCAGTTGCCATTGGCTCAAAGGTTTTGCCCATTAACTTGACTAGGACAAGGGACAAATTCCACTCAGGAGCAAGAGGTTTCAGAGGGTAATAGAGTCGTAACATGCTGTGACGGACTACATTTAAAGCACTGTTTTCCTAATGCAGTAACATCAGAGAAGGGTGGTGAATAGTTAACTTTGCTCTAGAATTGAGCTTGAGTGACAGGCTGCTCCTTTTCTCTGATTGGCCAGCACCAGCTGAGGGAAATATAAGATCAGCTGTGCGCTGAGGGAAGAGTTAGTTTTGAGTTCAGCAGCAGTTACTGTTCAGTAAAGTAAAAGTTCAGCTCAAGGAGTGGATTATCTGAAGAGTCTGACTAACAAGTTTACCTTTTGAATAAAGGGAGAGACTCCTCGTCCTAGCTGTGTTAAACATAACCCAAAAAAGAATTCCATCGAAGAATTCAGAGTCTAGTGTCAGCTAAAGCTGAAGTACATTTTCACACAGATTCCAAGAACTTGGGTTTGAGATTTTGGTAAAGATTGACTGGGTAGCAGGCTGACGTTCCCAATCAAGCCAAAAGGAACAGGATTATATTTTCAGGGAAGAAACAGAAGCCCTGTCCAGATATACAGGGAAGTGGCACTGAAGCAGTCCTTGGTCTGTAGTGAAAGGAAACGTTTATAGACTACTCAGGGGAAAGAAGACACAGTGTTAATTCAGAAAAGGGGAAAGAATTTGATACACTAAAAGAGTGACCTTTCCAGAAAACCTGAACAATTATTAGGAAACTATATGCAGAAAAACTGTAACTGAAACCAAAGTACTCAGCCAACCATCTCTCACTTGGTAAGAACCAAGAATTTGTAAAAAAAAAAAAAATAAGCTGCACCATCTTGTCTACGAACTGAAAAATATACTGTTTTACCAACAACGTTTACCTCAGTCTTTCCAATTCCTGACTACCCCATACCATATCTGCCTATTAAATAAAATCTTCATTACTGTTCACTGTACACAGTCTCCAGTGCCATTTCAAGGTCTAAAAAGCAGGCTCCTGTTTTCTCCTGAAAAGTTCCTGGACTGGGGAAAAGCTAAAGTAGATTCTGTCATGGGGTGGGACATCCCGATTTATAAAACCTCAAATATTATCATGCTGCTGGGGGCTAGCTCAGTACCTGAAGGGAACTAAGAATTTTGGCAGGAAAAATCTGTCTCAGTGGAGAGAGTAACAGGGGGTCTGCCATACATGCCCTTAAGAAAAGCTTTGGTCCAATGAGAGAAAAGGGTGCTCTCTACGGGATCATGATTGGCTGAGATCGCTGCCAAGTGGACCTTCAGTGATGAAAAACTGAGTCCAGATTCTTGTAGAGACACCATGTATGACAGAACATTCACTAGCGGGTCCGTCTAGGGTCATGTTTCTGAGCGGATGAACAGAGGGAGAAGTGCTTCCACTTGGTCCCATAAGTCTGACGGGTAGCTGATTTCCTGGCACTGAGCAGCACATGGTGAACTCGCAAAGAGTGAGTTAAGGAGATATTTTCCACGTTGTCAGTCAAAAAAAGTGAGATTGTGATGTAGGACCTTGCCTTGTTGCTGTGACAAAATGTCAGGGACCAGAGGAAACTGAAGATGGGTATTCTGGGACAGCGGTAGGAGGTGAGGGAACCATGGCTGCCTGGGCCACCAAGGCATCACTAGGATGCAGGAAGTTCGGTTGTGGATGTGTTTCTGGATGATGCATTGTATTAGCGGGTGGGGGAACAGGTAAAACAGCTTCCCTGATCATCGGTGCCATCCCCAGACGACCCGTTGGTCGCAGGTCCCCTGCTGAAGGAAATACTACACTTGGTGTTCTCCTTAGTAGCAAAGGCATCCACTTATGGGTAGCCAAAGGTTCTGCAAACAGGGGCTAGGTACTTCCCGTTGAGGGACCATTCATTCTTGTCTGACACAGTCCTGCTGAGGAGGTCCACTTGAATGTTCTGAGCCCCTGGCACATGAACAGTGGTCAGGAAGATGTTGTGTTTGTTGTACCAATGCTATAGGATCATCTGGATTTGCAGGGCCTCTGCCATGCGTTGAATAAGTTTCAGGTATGATTTCAAGCCATCGGATGGTGAAAGGGAGCCCTGGCGGGCTATTTCGGGTTCAGGGGATGTGTGGATGTGGTTGTCCCTGTCTGAGTCCACGTTGTTGGTGCCGATGTTGGATGGCTCAGAAGAAGTCCACATATCCCCCATCAATGGGGGGAAATCTGGAATGTGGGGTGTGTCAACAGACTGGCCAGGGAGAGTGGCAAGGGGCAGATTTCTCTCCCAAAGTCGTAGCTGGTACCGAGGTGTTGCAGCATGGGCGAGACAGAGGATCCACTGGATGGTCGGGGTGGTGGTGGGATGCTCTTGGGCTTGATGGGCGTTAAGTGGTTCTGGAGTGATGGCACAGTGAATCGTGGTATGATGATCCATAGGATGACGTTCGGTGTCGATAGTGAGGCATTCTTAATCTCGATGAGACCTCCGATAACGATGTCGAGAGGATCTCAAGCCCGAATGCATCCGTGCACGCTGAACATGTTGTAGGTGGTACTGAGTTTGGTGTTGGTGATGAGAGGGGGACGTCGAGTCTGAAGAGTAGTCTTGAGCCCCCGATGTGTGCTACAAGAGCAGGGCCGGCTCGAAGTTTGTTTGTGCCCTAGGCGGGGCTATCTTCTGGCGCCCCCCAATTATGGGGTTGCCAACCTCCAGGCGGGACCTGAAGAGAATGAAGTCGCCTTCCTCACACACACACACACACCCTCCGGGGGTGAAAAGACTGGACAGGAAGGGGACTGACAGGCAGGCAGGAAGGGAGCCGACGACTGGGCACTCCTCGTGGTGGGGACTGGCCGTTTGCACCCTTCACCACGACTGCGGGCTGGCTGGTGCAGGTGGGGTGGGCTGCTCCGTCCTCGGCTTCTGCAAGGGTGGTCTCTGGCGCGGAGCGAGAAGGAAGCATTCGTCAGAGAGGGCAAGAAGGTGGTTTCAGCTGTGGTGGGGACGCACCACCAGCCGCGATTGGGGGGGGTGTTCTTGCAGGAGTGCCTCGCTCACCCCGGGGTCTTAGTCCCGAGGACTAGATCACCTGGCACTGAGTGGGGGACCTGCTTGGGAGTCAGCGGACAAGCCTGAGCCCCCCCGTGCCTTCCTCCCGCCGTAACACCTTCCTCTCCCCCCCCACCCCAGCTCAGATGCCAGCGCCTGCCGTGCACGGGAGGGGGGACGGGGGGGATTGGAGAGGGGGGGTCTCCCGGGGGGGGGTCTGTCCCCGCATGCCCATGCCCTCCCTCCCCCCCGCCAGTCACTCCCTCCTGCCTGCTTTCACCGCCTTCCTGCCTTCACCGCCACACAAAAGTGGAAGACTGAGTCTAGGTATCTACACTAGAGAACTCTGGAAGAGGAATTCCTGGGCTGAAATCAGAGGATGAGGTGAGAACTCTGGTGTGCTTCCCTGGTGTGCTTCCCTGGGTGCTTCGATACTGGTGGGACAGGCGATCGATGTCAAGAAATCTTCTGAAGAGAGGAGAGTTCTGGAGGCTTCAATGCCGATGCAGACAGAGTAGTACAGGGCACTTGAGGAGAACGTGAGTGATGGGTAGACAGCCGATACCAATCAGAAGGTCTCACCGGAGTTAGCCAAGGCATGGATGATGGAAGCGGGAAGGCACCATAGAGAAACTGATGATGATCCCAGGGAACCATCAGTGGAGCAGAAGGATGGAAATGCCTGGGAGATCTCTCCAGAGAGTAGGCATGCCTTGGTGATCAACGAAGTGAGGAAAGTGATGTGCAGGATCGATATTGTAAGGGTACTGTCTATCAGTGTCAATGGGTGATCGGGATCGATGATGACAAGGCGGATCATCGTTGATGGGAGATCGAGAGTGATGTCGACGAGTTGGATTGGCATCACTAGATCCTCGGATCGATGCTGACAAGAGGATCGGCGTCAATGGGTGAGCACAAGTGATCGGTAGCAAAGGAAGATCTGGACGGTGACTGATCTCCATGTGGTAAATATCTGACAACAACCTTATCGACATCAGATACTGATATGGAGAATGGTTGAGTGTAGGAAAAGTGCTCCAACGTTGGGGGGTTCAGCTGCCCAATAGGAGAATCCAGAAGCTGGATAGGTGGTGCAGGCATCACCTTCAGCAGATCTGAGGTTGGAGCCTCAATGGAAACGGGTTACGCATGTGGAGCAGAGCTCTGTGCAGGACCTGAGGTGTCAGCTGTGGAGCTTGTCTAAACGGACTTGTGACTACCCTTAGCTGAGCTTTTGTGTCCCTTCTCAGACTTGTCTTTTTTCTTCTTTGCAGGGGTGGACGAGGTCGACGGAGCCATTGGGATCGGGCACTTCGATGCCGACAGGACGATGTCAGAAGCCGATTTCGATACAGGGGGAGCTGTTGGAGTGGAAGGTTTCGGCGGTGTGTCCAAATCCTTTTGCAGTTGAAATCCCATAGATGGAGTGGCGGCAGGAGTAAGAGCCAGTTCCAGGAGGGCCACACACAGTCACGCTGCTCTATTTTTCCAAGTCTGACTGGACTTGGTGCAGTGTGGGCAGAAATCTGGGTGGTGGGCCTCCCCCAGGCACAGAATGTGTGGCCATCCAGTGGTGCAAGTTTGCTGCCGCAGTTGGTGTCAGTATACTGTAATGTATGAGACAAGATGACAGTCTATGAGACAATGTGGTAAAGATCATGCTGATCTGGGTGACAGCTTAGTGAATCATGTGACCCTGTCACCAGGCAGAGATTGCATCTCTCTTGCATCAGCGTGCATGATGTAACCATGAGTCAGCACTGGTCACTGATTGGTGCTGACACTGTATATAAGACTGTACAGTACATGTAGAGGTTGTTCACTCTGTGGATGCCTTGCAGCGGAGCACTCTGCCGGAATGGATGGCGATATTGGAGTTGGAGAGTGCCAGCCCCACCTTTTTGCCATAAACAGAGGGTAGAAGTAGAAGGCGAAAGAAAGGAAGGGGGGGGGGGGAGGCCGAAGCCTTAACTGAGGGGATTTTTTTTTTTTAGGGAGGAAAGATAAAATGGGAGTTAAAGGGAAAAAATGAAGGAACAAGGGGAAAAAGAAATCCCAAAAAGCTGTATCTGAAGTAAATCTCACCAACCAGGAAAGAGCTGTTAACAGTGCAGCAGTCAGAAGAGAACTGGCGGGCAGTGTTCCCTCTAAGCTGAGTTAGTGTGAGCTAGCTCACGTTTTTTAGCCTCCGGCCCACACATTTTTTGTCTTCGCTCAGGAAGGAGGGCTCCAGAGCAAACTAATTTATACAGCAGCCAAATTGCTTTCTCACATCTTTAATGCCAGTAGCTCACAAAGTAGAAGTTTTGCTCACAAGACTCCACAGCTTAATGGGAGCATTGCTGGCGGGATGTCTGCCCCCCCCCACTCTGGGCATGCACGGTTGGAGTTCCCGCTCATGCCCGAGGTGGAGGCGTGAAAATCTCGTTGTGAACTTTGTACTACACTGATAGGATCAGCGCAGGCGCACTGAGTTCCCATGGGTGTGATGCACAGAGACCATGACGAAGATATAGAAAATTGATAAAAGTTAACTTTTAAGATATTGCTAAGTAAACACTGGAGTGAAAAAAGTGCATTATTTAAAAAAGAAAGAAAGCTGTGGTCAACCTGTATCACTTCTCAGTGCTCTACTAAGTTGCATCAAATTGGCACACAGCCTTTCACAGAAATACGTTGACACTTTCCAGTAATATCATTAATGGTACAAGGATGAAGGGGAAAGTTGCTAATTCATCCAGGTAGCCACAGCAAACAGGCCATTTATATTACCTGTAAGCCATACACAATGTATGAATCCAGAAGGTCAAAAAGACCCCTCCACCAAATTCCCTGGTTACATAAGTTTGTAGAACACAAAGTTAGATCACAGAGCAATAAACTCTTTGGCTAAATTTAGAGCACATCTGCATTACAATGTTACAGAAAGCTTCCCATTTTGTGATGGAGTGGCATTCCTCCAAATGCTGATATAATAAAGGACAGAATGATAGGCCAATGTTTTCAAGAACAGATGAGCTGAAGCCTTTTCTCTTAGTGTGAATCAGAACATTATGTTTCCTCACCTTTTGAAGACGGCAGTTTCTGTTTTAGCATCTACAGTAAGGCTAAGGGTTTCCTTCATGCTGCCATTCATTACTGTCTCAGTCACCTTGTCTGCATTTTCTATATCATCTTCTCCATCAGAACCAGCCTCCATTGCAACAGTTCCTGCAGCTGGAAGGAAGAGTGTGAAGAATATCATTTCCTGTATTTTTGTCTCACTTTTCAACCCCAAATTGGATTCCACGTGGCTCCAGGAAATGAAATAGAATACAAGTGACAATGAAAATTCATCATCATGTGGTTCTCAGAGAGGACCTCCTCAACTGAGTTAAGATCCAGAAGGGATGAGGGGCTGGCTGCCTCCGACCCTCCCCTTCTGACAGCCTCATCAATGACAGTTGAAATCACAGAACATTAAGCTTGGCAGCCACAACCGGGACACACTTAAAATTGTTTCTAAAATGAAGGGAAAAGGCTGCGCCAACATTTCAAGGTGAAATCACGGCCTATTCTCATAGACTGAATCAGAGCATGAACTTTATTCTCTCACTTTTTGAAGTTTTTGCAGTATATCCTACAGTAAGAGACGGTCCTCTTCATGTTGTCATTCATTACTATCCCAATCCCTGAATGTGGACAATTTACCAGTTACCTTTTTAAACAAGAAACCCCCCCCCCCCCCCCGGTTAAAATAGAATATTTTAAAAATAACCTGATAACAATCCTCTGACTTTTGTTTAACTCTTGAACAATGCTGACATTTTTGCAGTGGCTTTTTAGAACAAAATAGACAGGTAACATGTTTTTAATCTTAAAAAATGTTTTATAAATGCATACTATATAACAATCCTTCTGCTATGTTCTACTCTATTTAGGGAAAACAACCCTTAAAATAACTGGCTAGTCAACTCAGAAGTTCCCATTACCTCTTTAGATGTCTATTAGGTGAGCAATTTTGGGGAAATAACAAATCCTAATCAGAATTACATCCTTCTAAGCTCAGTGACTTCAACTCTACTTAGGATCAGTGTTCCCTCTAAGCTGACTTAGTGTGAGCTAGCTCACAGTTTTTTAGCTTCCAGCTCACACATTTTTGTCTTAGCTCAGGAAGGAGGGCTCCAGAGTAAATTTATGCAGCAGCCAAATCGCTCACTCACAACTTTAATGCCAGTAGCTCACCAAGGAGAATTTTTGCTCACAAGACTCTACAGCTTAGAGGGAGCACTGCTTAGGATCACACTGCTAGTCTCTCTTTTTTTTTTTTAAAAGAATTTATTTATACTTTTTCCAACAAACAAACAAACAAAAAATAAAAATCCAAGTACATTCCCATTGTACAAATCAGTTTCGGAGTGTTCATTATACATTTTTTTCAAACCATTTATACACTTTAAACCATCTTTTCTTATAAGCGTTATCATCTCTCTCTGCTAATATCATATTTAATCTGTCCATTTCTGCTATTTCGAATATTTTTTCCATTATTTCTTCTTTTTTAGGTAGTAAATCTGATTTCCATTTTTTCGCTATCAGAATTCTGCTTAACGTGAGGATATATAACACAATACATTTATCATCTGTATTTACTATATCTGGCAAGATATTAAGCAAGTAACTTTCCGGTTTAAGCTGCAGATCTATTCCTACAATTTCTTTTATCAAATATTTTACCATTTTCCAAAATTTTACTATTTTGTCACACCTCCACCAGATATGATAGTATGTTCCTACGTTATTATTACATCTCCAGCATGTATCCGAGACATTTTTATAACATTTTGTTATTTTATCCGGTGACCAGTGCCACCTGTAAAACATTTTTAGGATATTCTCTTTGTATGGTGTGGCTCTTACTAATTTTTTCGTTTCCCACATTTTTTCCCATTCTTGCGTTTTTATTGTGTAGCCTACATTTTGTTCCCAGGTGTTCATGCAGGGTTTTATCGTTGCTTTTTTTCCCTCTGTTAGTAAAGCTGGCAATATAAAGGCTTCGAGTGGTGACACCCACATTGGTACTTCTTTGTACATTTTTTCTTTAATTTTCTTCCAAATCTTAATCAATGCCCCTCTTATAATATGGTTATTGAAGTTTTTATGCACTTTTTCCTTATCGTACCAAATGTAGGCGTGCCAACCCATATACAGATCATGGCCCTCTAGTTGTAGTAGTTTTTTATCTTCTAAGAGTATCCAGACTGGAAGATTTACTATCAAGCAGCAGCAATGGGATGGATACGGGAATGGATCACACTGCTAGTCTCAAATTCAATTTTTTTGGACAGTAAAACAAGATTTCACTACTCTTACCTTCTGATTCTGTTGCAAGCGCTGCTACATTTGCACTCAAAGGGTCTACTGGCTCTGTGTTGGTTTCCATTTCCACAGGTGAATTACTTCTTAAGGAATCTTTTGAACTTGAGAAGAAATGAAAACTTTGATTACTTCCATTTCCAAGTTTTTTTTAAAAAAAATATTTTGGTACAATCTGCTGCAGAACTCATTAGACTGAATTCCTTTTCCTCCAACCAACATTTTGCACAAACACCACACATTGTTAAATAACATGATCACACCGTGCTCTCATTTGAGAAGAGAAGGATTGCAGTCTTCCAGTCGTGTGTGTGTGTGTGTGTGTGTGTGTGTGTGTGAGAGAGAGAGAGAGAGAGAGAGAGAGAGAGAGAGAGAGAGAGAGAGAATGAGAATGAGAATGAATTCAGGCTGTCCCACCCTGTCACAGTATAATATTTTGGCCATTTTATTTATTTATTTTATTAGTCTTGTATCCCGCCCTCCCTGCAAGCAGGCTCAGGGCAGGTTCCATCAGTCCCAATATAGTACACAATACAATTTTAAAAGAATTTAAAACAACAATTTAAAACAACAGAGCTCATACAGTGCCGTCTCTCAACAGTTAGATGGTTCCTATATGGCTATTCAGATCCAGGCCACCAATGGGAGATCAACCAGGGGAGGGGGGACACGTCTGCTGCCTCAAGCAAACGGCTGGTGGAAGAGCTCTGTCTTACAGGAATTCCGCAGGACCCCGATCTCATACAGGAGCTCGTTCCACCAAGTAGGGGAAAGTAGTTGAGGAACCTCGGATGTCCCTGGGGCCAGGGACTACCAAAAGATGTTAGTTAGTAGACCTCAGTGCTCTATGGGGCTCACATGGGAAGAGGCAGTCCTGAAGGTATGCTGGCCCCTGACCATAGAGAGCTTTAAAGGTAAACACCAACACCTTGAAATGGATCTGGTATTCAATAGGCAGCCAGTGCAGTTCACGCAGCACTGGATGGATGCAAGCCTGCACAGGTGTCGCCATCAGCACCCGTGCTGCTGCTGCTGCTGCAACTTCCAGAGCTGAGTCAAGGGTAGCCCCACATACAATAATCCAGTCTGGAAGTGACCATTGCAGGGGTCACTACAGCCAGGTTGCAGGGGGTGAGATATGGGGCCAGCTGCCTGATCTATCTCAGATGGAAAAAGGCAGCCCTGGCAGTGGTGGTGACCTGGGCCTCCACGGAAAGGGAAGCATCCAGGAACACCCCCAGACTCTTCACCCTCAATGTTGGCACCAATGGAGCCCCATCGACAGTTGGGAGCCTGGATCCCCAACTCAATCCCCCGCGACTCAGGTGCAAGACCTCCATCTTGGATGGCTCAGCCCAGGAACCTGAGGGAAGGAATGAGAGCCCCCTTTAACTTATACAACTAAAATGGAACTCAAGAAGTTGTTATATTTCAAATTAGCAAAATATTTTATTCAAAATAGAGGGGGAAGATCAGGTGAAATCAGGGGTAAAATTTCTGTGATAATTCAATGTAGATAACTCTGAGGTAAAATCAGGACATGCACAGACTTTGCAAGCAGTCACACACACACTAAATAATCCAATTTCAATGCACTTTCCAATTGGATTTTGCCAGTTCACACAGTAAAATCCAGTTGGAAAGTGCAGTGAAAGTGGACTGAAAGTGGATTCTTTTAGTGTGTGTGACCGCAGCCTTTATTTCTTATGTTTCAGGCTAATGAGAGTTTCTTTTTATATATATA